TATTAGATTTTGATAAAATTCGAATTATTTAAAAAACCTTTAGATTTAGACATTATAAATCTTATTAAAACAAACACTTATTTTGCTCAGATAATACAAAAATGCAATAATATATAGGGTATTTCATTTAGAAAAACACAACGTTGATACTTTTAGGGATTTTGGGACACTTTGTACATTACAAAAATATTTTTAAAATGTGCACCCGATAGGCATCTGTGGATTCATAAAATAATACTTTGCAAAAAACAAACGGGCTAGCCGCAAACGTCCGTGCCGTATAGCGTGAATAACCCTATATATGTATAGTTCGACAGATGCCAAAATCAGTACTAAAATATATGTATAGTTCGACAGATGTCAAAATCAGTACTAAAATATATGTATAGTTCGACAGATGTCAAAATCAGTTAGAGGTTCTAAATAAGAGCCTCCTATGATTTGATTTTGTCAAGAGCTAAAACGGTTTTTGTGTCGCTATTTTTTCTGACTCAGTCTTCTGACTCAGACTAGACGATAATTTCATTTTTTCGTCGCCAGAAAATGGTGATTGAATTAGGTTTGAAATGAGTATCACAAATATTGATTCTTTGTGTTAAGGGTGGATTTTTTCAACTCGTGCGGAACCCAAATATCGAGCCTCCGAGTCATTTCAAGTCCAAGACGTCTTATATGTTTTTCTAGTGTTGTGTTTGATATCTATATTTAACTGTTTTTCAATCCCTCGCTCAGTTATTGGATTTGATTCATTTATGGCTTTGATTTTTTCAAATCAAAATTAATTCCTGGGTTTCAGTCATTTATTGTCTTTATTTATCAATTAAAATACGTTTTGGTGTAGTTTTCTACCATCATCAGTTTTTACGTGTAGCGCTGTTGCTGCTTTAAGCCTTGGCATACATTTTAGCCAAGAAATGTATGCCAAGGAGGCTGTTTTTGATTTTTGACGAACTGTGGTTGTTTTTTAAATTAATTAATTTTTTTTTTTAACTAAAACAGAAATTAATTTTGATTTGGAATTGAAACACAGTCAGGAAAATATATACAAATTTGATTTTTTCATCAACAACTTCAAAAAGTCGACCAGAACGTTGGCGATATTTCAGTGAAAAATCTAAAAATCGAAATTTTTTAAACCAATTCTGGCACGTGCGTTCTATTAAACAATCAAAAGCAGCATAAACTCCATGTTAAAACAGACCGTAAACTGACCATTGGAAAAAAATTGCACGAAAATTGTTTCTATGGAACCTACAGAAATCGACTACCAAATTTCAAATGAAAAATTCTAACATTGGCAAAATAGTAACGAAACGAACATCACGTTATGTAGTGCCAACCCAGCCATTTCATATGAATGTTTGCACTTTTTAGCGCAAAATGCCCAACATTTTCAGAAAGAGATCCATTTCTGCGTTACTATTGGGAAAATTGATTTGTTACAGGGTGCATCCGCATAATTTGGTGGGCAAAGACTGCAAGAATGGCGTGTGTACGGTGGTGATCGCACCTGAAACCATGAGGGCTCAATTCCAGAATTTAGGCATCCAGTGCGTGAAGAAAAGGGACATTGAAAGCTCGCTTCGGCAACGCGAAAATATTAAAGTCGACCCATTTAGACGTGAGTTTTTCTGTTTAAGCACATAAAAGTGAAAAACATGAATTCGTTCATTTACAGAGGGTTATTCTCATCGAAGCCAGCCAACCTCCATCGACCTGAACGCCGTGCGACTCTGTTTCCAAACCTACTTGGAAGAGGATGGCAAATTCATAATACCACTTCGAGCCGTGGTCAGTGACGTGATTTACGATAAGAAGGCAATGGCCGATTTATCCATCGTCCAATTATGTTCCTGTGTTAGTCACGTGAACGGCGGAAAGCAAATGATTCTTTTGTGCGAAAAGGCTAGTCTAACCAACATCCTAATCCCTTGGGGCTACTAAACCTCCACCTTGCAGGTAGCAAAAGAAGACGTGGAAATCCATTTCTATGAAGAGGATTTGCAAGGGAATCGAGTCTGGCAAGCCAAGGCCGACTTCCAGCCCTCCCAGGTCCACAAGCAGACGGCCATTTCCTTCAAGGTTCCTCCGTACCGCACGCTGGACGTGTCCGAACCGGTTAGAGTGTACGTGCAGCTTTACAGACCTTCTGACCGTTTGACCAGCGAACCTCGTCCATTCGAATACCTGCCCTTAGACTCAGGTAGGCCGCCCTATTGGTCGTTCAAGCGCGGACTCAGTAAGAAAGCCAATTACGATCTGTTCGATAGTATTCTAGCGACTGATGCTAAACTAGCGGCTAAGCGCCAACTCAGTGTTACTGAGGAGGCAAAGGCTGCCCAGGTGGAGGCGAATAATAATAGCGTCGCTCCCAGCTATGCGGAGGTGAAGAAAAGCAAGCTGGCTGAGGATGTGATTGTTAGCAGCAGTTCGGAGAGGTGCGACAGGAGTGAGGAGAAGTCGTTTAACGAGATTATAAACCAAGTGGCGGAGTTGGATGAGATATATGCGGATACTCACGCGAAGCTCTTGAATGAAGCGCTGAAGGAGATTGGGAATGAGAAGCCGCCCATTGGGCAAACCGCGCAAGAGGAGTCTTTTGATGATGCTCGAACCTACACCAGCTTGCAGCTGGCTTTCAAGAACCCCGTTCCTGTTAAAGTGGCCTCTAGTCGTTACGAAGACGTGATCATTACTCCTTTGAGTCCGCAAGTCGAAGTTGCCCCTACAGCGCCTAAGGCTGCGGTGCCTAAACCGACCTTAGCTAGTCCGCCTATAGTTCCTCCAAAATCAAGCAACTTCAATGGGGATGGAGTGCTCCCTCCACTGCCCCCAAAGCGCACTAAGAAGCTGGAAACTTACATCGGGGGGTCGATGAGCAGCATTCAACTTACCGGGAAACAGGCAGACATTTTGCTTACCCGATCGGGCAGCATGAAGTCTGCTTCGGTAAGTCGGACACAGTCTTTCAATCTTCAACGGCCTAAATCCCATGCCGAACTGGCCCCACCTGGTAAGCACTTACCTCCAGTGCCCAACGCGTCTGCAACGCTGCCCAATCCAAAGAAACGTGGATTCTTTTCCAAACTGTTTGGGCGCCGCAGTTCAAAGAGCAGCGTTAGGGCGCCATCGCGTGAACCCAGCGTTACTCCTTCGTATAACAGCAGCAGATCGTTGCAGGTGGAAAACGTGTTGGCTAAAAGCTCCGGAAATATATCCACGTATTCCAGCAACAGTATACGGATCCGATTGAAGGACGAAAGTCCTCCGCCTATTACAGGCCCCGATAGTTTTTCCTCTTTGCAAGCGCCGATAACAACCATGGCACCGAGCCATCCAACGCCCGATGAAGACATGGACGTTCAGCTGGACCTAACTGAAGCTGAAAACTACGCGCTCTACACCTCAATGGCACCACACGCCACTCAAAGCGAGTTCGATGAGTTCAGCTGTTACTACGCCCCGGTGGAGGGCGGCAAATTGCTGACCAATGCCGAAGCAGTTTCTATACTGGCCGGGAAAACTTGACTTTAACTAAAGCTCATTTTTTGTTTCTTCCGGCTCCCTTTTCATTGTTATTTGTTTGTAGGCTCTAAGCGAATCCTTGCAACTGCCAGGATCAGTTGTCGATGTTTTACTGAAGACTTTTTGCTCTGATTTTCAGCCGGTTGCATTTGTCAGAGGGACAGTAATAAGCGAAAGAGGGCCAAAATTGACCAGTCGTATCCAAAAATTATGGGAGGGCTTACCGCCCATGATAGTAAGTGTACTTTTCTTACATTGTTTTGGTGGTGGGTTCACCCGTGCAATTACGGCTATTTCTAGAAATTTGCCTTTGTAATGTAAAATATTTCTTTAATGCAAAATAATAGATGTTCGAAGCAGGCGGTCAACATAGAAGTCGCATCAGATGCTAAATTAGGAATTTTGTTAATTAAATTAGCTAAATTAGTCATTTTCTTCATCTCTACGTAATGGCATGTCAAGAAGAGTTTATCACGGATTTTGAAAATTTAGACATTTATTAAATTAATAGGAAAAGCTTGCAAATTGAAATGAAACAATTGTTGCACCTGCTAAGATTTAATTTCGTGGTTTTGTCGAAAACGCTTTTTCATTCCTCACTCACAAGCCAGATTTAATTGATCGCTTTGTAATGTAATGTGTAAAGTTGCTGTTTAGAAACCGGAAACCACCCTAATTTCTAAGAATATTTCTTTCTTTCATTCCGATGTTCATGTTCCGGAATGATTACGAGTGCAAATCACGCATTTAAACAGAAAAAAAAACATTTTTTAGTTTTTTGATTGAGTATTTTCTAGCGTTGCTGAACTCAAACGAACGACAGTTTTTAGGTCGCGTATAAGCCACAGTTTCTTCATTTTGTGTTGTTTCTTCTGTTCTGCAGAAGATTGTGAATGTTTGGCTTCAAAATGTTTTTCAATGTTTTTTTGGGTAAAAATTAATTATGGGAAACAAATGTGAAAAAGCTTTCCTTCTGAAATTCGATGTTCAAAACGATCAATTTTAATTTTGCGCGTTTGGTCTTAACAAAAGACAAAATTTTCCCAGGTTTAAACAATTAGAAATCTTTAATATGCTACCCATTGATTAATTAGATTAATTAGTGAAAAAAGCGTTTCATTTAAATCAAAAAGAGTGACTTTATGGTGTCGCATCATTTGGGTTTATGGTCTTTCGGTCGAATAATCCAATCGTATTTTTGAACAATAAAAAAAATGATCCAATCAATTACTATTATATATTTTTTCTTCCCTGGATTTCAGCCAAAATGTGAAATAAAAATCTTCATATTGTTTACTTCATATTACGTTTCGGCGAGACACCAGCGCCATCATGAGATTAAAATTCAAAACAGACCCATAATAGGGTGTTTTCACTTTTTTTTTAATGCTGATATATAGAAAGTAGTTATGGCAAAAATTACACTGATATAATTTTTTTTGCATAAAAAGTCTCCATAATAATTTTAAAACGAATTTAAATTCAAATCCTAAATTTTCCGCCAAAAACGCCGAATCCGTATCGTCGGTTGCCTATCCCGATTGTGACGTAGCAGGTCATATCAACAAAGTGTCTCGTGTTTATTTTGTGGTTTTCGCAGCTTTGTTTTATTATTTACGTTATTGTGATTATCATTATTTTATTGATTATTATTATCTTGCATAATGGAAAATAGTCACATGTATGGATCACAAAATAAGTGGTGTTTTGTGCCAGGCTGCAAGAATACCTCAATAAGTGCTCCAAACAAACTCTTTCTAACCGTTCCCCATGATTATGCACGTAAAGTTTAATGGTTCAAAGCAGCTAGACGTGATATTCCTAAATCAAAATCAATGTTTTTTTGTTGCGAGGATCATTTTAATGAAAGTACGAACAAAAAGCTAACGATGAGGCAGACAGAAAATGTCTTCCATCGATCGTACTTTGTGTTCTGGGCAATTTCTACATTGTACAGTGCACAAAGAACCATCGCGTTTCAATTCCACATATCCGATATCACCATATTGTTCTCGTGATGCCCAAAATACAAAATTTAAGAGTTCATTTTACTTTTAAAGTTGAATAAGTGAAATTCTGTATCTCATTTACCTAATTTAAACCAATACAGACAGATTAGTATATTAAGGAGAGAGTAACTAATAATGAATTTACGAATTTGTACTTACGCTACTTCTTTGACACCCTTAAATCCGGTTGAATTAAAGCGTTCGTCGTTTTTTAAAAATTCGGTAACCATAAAAATATGTACGCAGGGTAAATTGTTTGGTGACGCTTTAAGGAATCCTTCTGAAGCAATTTTTTAGTTTAACACAAACTATAAATTATTTAAATCCACAAAATAATTAATGAAACACAACCAGACAACTAAACACTATGCACAGAACGTAAACAATCCGCGATTTATATGACCAGAGACGTCACAACCAATAGGATTGCGTTTTAGAGATTCATAAATAATTTGAATTTTAGCTGAATTTGTTTATTAAATATTTAACAAAATAGCAATAGGTAAGTATATTGGGAACATTTGATTCTTTATAGAGACAGCCAAGCCTATAAAGAATGAAATGAAACCCAGGAAAGAAAAAAATATATAGTAACAATTACACGCAGCCAGGAAAATAAAACAAAACAATTGATTACGCAACATGCAAATGAGGGTACTTCTAAAGCAAAAGAACCGATTTTTACGCCGTTCGCTGGGGATAAACTGCAGAATTTTGTTTTGTTAGTTTTTGCACTTGATAATTTTCAGCTCTAAAAACTCAAAATTCGTTTCAAATAGTGACTAGCAGCACACTGGGCTTTAGAAGAACGATTACGTTTTTATCATCATCAGACCCGCCAAATGTTTGTAATGTAACTAAGACCAGATCACCAAATGTGCTAATTTCAGGCACCCCCAGGGTCGGTTTCGAGCCTATAAAGTGCAGGTTTCGGGAGTGTTGTTTTCAGGCTAAACCAATCTGATGAGAACTAATAGACTCGAAACTGGGCCTAGAAGCGACTGAGATTAGTACATTTCGGGGTCCGTATTTAGAGATGAATTGTGTCTTTCTTTAGAACCATGAGTTATGCGAAAGGCCGTTTTAACTAATAAAAAGCCGTAATTGCACCAACGTCTGTTTCTTGCCTGATGCTGGCAAATATTTCACATACTACTAACTAATAATCCAATCGTCGCCCTTTAAAAAATCCGATCCCGATTGCACATTAAAAAACTTGTAAAGTGCGCCTGTTTAAATATATCGTACTTGCAGCGTATGGATTTACGAAACCCTTCTAAATGTCCCCCAGTCTATTACCAAAGATGTTCTTCTTGTATTTAAAAGATGATACTAATACTTTTTATATTATAATTATTTATTACAATCTGTAAGGAATTTTTGTTGTGAGTTAAAAACATGAGTTGTTTGTTATAATCGTCATTGTTTATTTATATGAAATCGTTGGAAGAATAGATAAGATGTTTGTTATCTCAATTACACGCAAATGCCTGTTCATTCGACAATTTATAAGATGCCCATTATTCGGTTTATTGAATTCCCCGATTAAACAATTTACGTGCAATTTAGCTAAAGCTTAAGTAAATATAAACGACGGCAATATCTTAGCAATAATGTTAGCAAATTGGTTGATTAGATTCATTTACTGACACATAATTTTTCTGGTTTTATTTAAATAAAAAAAATGGAAAGTGGCACCTAGCAATTAGAATTCGCATTTAGACATGTTTCCTATTGTTTTTTTTTGTAAAGCTCTATGTATTTTATCGTCCTTTTATGTCGCTGTGTGGATTGATCATTGAACTATTGTTTACCTGTTTGACCAAGAAGTACCTACATACCAACTGCCTTAAAATATCATATAGTCTATTCAGAGTGTTGTTAATGATAAGGAAAGTTTAGTTAATCATCCGTTTTCCTTTTATATAAATCCCACTTTTGCATTGTCCAGCGTGTTTCTTAATATACTCAGTTTGATATCGAAACGATTATCATTGCTCGGCCCTTCACGAATTCACTTACAGCATCAGGGCCCTAGAAGGAGCTAGAAGAAGGTATGGAACCACGGTTTTTGCATGCTGTTTGGATTGGTTTTCTGTTTTTTCTTACTTTATTTTCACATGTAGATCTACGTGATGTTTCGTTGTGTCGAAGTTTTGTTTTTTGCCTTACACACAACAGTTTTGCCATGTTTGTAGCCACACAATCTGTTTTTAAATACAATCGAGTGACGATCGGCGTTTATTGCGAAGGAAGACAATGAGTGGTCGTCACACGAAACGGCTTTGCCAACATGCAAAAACTTGAGCTTCCCGCCTTCTTTTAGTTTGTAGTTTCATTTTTTAAATAGATTATTTGCGTTCTTATTCGGTTAGAGAGTTATGTTTTGGTTTAGTCACTAATAATGCATGATAGAGTGGAGAGATTCATCATTAATCTGTTAGTAAATATGAACAACGAATGACTGGGTATGAGGCGAGATAATGAGCGACTCCATGCTTTTGATAATTGGAACGGAAGCTTTAACCGACATGTTGGGAAACTTGTTTTTTCGCAAGAAACCGATCCCCAATATTTTCACCTTTTCAAGGTTTTCCAACATCTCGGTCACACCCTCCGGTCCCATTTGCATTAGGAGCAAGTGGAGCTCAATCTTTTCCCAGATAGCACACAAATATTACAGTAATATTTTTTTGCAATATTTAATATAGGTTGAAGCGACAGATTCTTGAATATTATAACAATATTTCTT